GCACGCGCGCAACTCCGCGCACTAGATATCAACATGAAAAATAGCTCAAAATGTTCGTCTACACCTCCTCCACATATACTGGTCGCAGCTAAGCGTAGTTCGGTAAGGGTGCTTCGTTCCAGGCTTTCCAAAAACCCTAAGAATTTTGGAGTATTTCGCAGCTTTCTCCCTTGAGAAAAAAGGTGATTGCGTGAATCACTCACATTCAAAGGAGTGGAAGTGGTTCACTCAATCATTTTTTGATGAATGGTTTATACTGGTTATGTAACAGGCCTAGTCACAACCGTCATACCTGTAACCGTGTAAACTGTAACTATTCATAACTGTTAGGCAGAGTGAATTACGCTTTGTATACATTTTAAGAGCGTCCTCACTCTTAATATGTAAGCAAATTGTACAAGACTAATTGACTCTAGGTGATTTGCGCAATAATGATGAGCAGTTACATTTATACAATTCACTGTAATTGGTGCATACCTACATTCTGATTGAGCATTTTATTGACAGCAACAAGTTAGATCCTTAACTGCTTAATGTCAACGGATACCAATAAAAATACTTACCTAAATACATTCCAATTGTACATCTTCCAGCACTAACGCGAAAATTACAACCAAACGTTGTATTTAATAATGAACTTTTAGCAGAAGATTGTTCTCCAACCACACTTAGAATGGTTAGTGGCCCATTTACATCTAATTACTTTAATGTCATTTCAATATGACGACTATGACTAAATAATGGACGTCCGCGAAGAATATGTATACCAAATCCTCTGTACATTAATTGTGCTAGTTTACCAGCTATTTGTTCAAATATATTTTTATATTGATCAACGACTAATTGTTGTTGTTCATCACAAATATGATCAAATAATGAATATAATTCGTCACAAAATAATCCAATTGTTAGATCAATATTATTTAGTTTATTATCAATTCCAGTTAATTGAGTTTTTAAATTCAATTTTTCCTCTTTCAATTGTTCTAATATGTTTCGAATTTTTTTGTTTCAATTTTCGTTCATTTATTTTAGTTTGTCGTTCAATTTCAAACAGTTTTTCTTTTAAACGTTCTTTGTCCTCTTTCAATTGTGGCATATATTTTTCACGCCATTTTTCTAAATAGTTCTCTGTTATTAATAGTTCAATGTATGAGCGACTATTTAGCAAATCGATAGTAAATTCATGATAAATTGTCAATGCTTTAAATGATTCCCACTTTGATGTATAAGATTTTAATTTTTCTGTAACATCGTCCATTTTAACTGATATTTGTTTTAAAATTTTCAATTGTGATTTTACGCATGCATCACATTTTTCTCATAAGAAGTAATTAATCTTTTAGATTTTTTATCCTAGTTGATGATCCACTAAGATTCTAGTGAGATTAGTGACTCAGTAGAGCCATGGTCTATAGCCTATAGGCCTGCAACTTCAGTTCTCTAAGGTTTCGCGGACTCTAAGAACAGGAACTTTGAACTAAACTTTCAAGTTAATTTTAGTAGGGAACAGTGCGCACGACATGTTGAATGTTTGCAAAAATTATTTAGCAAGTTATGAAGATTTTCCAACTTTTCGGTTTACAAAACCTCTCCTTATTCCACTTCACAAAATTTTTCTTTTGCAAAAGTCTGGTTTTTCAAGGTCACAACGGTTTTCGACACCCAAATACTGTAAAACCCATTAAAGTTACATGTGTTGTCAAGCTGGAAAAGCGGAACTTCTGGAGACCGAAACAATTGACAAGTTGAAAAAGCGCAATATCTGCTGAACGTTTTGAACGCATTAGATTGCATTAAAAATACATTATTAAGTTTTAATGCATGAGAATCGAAAAAAGAGATTTATAACGGCTTTTATTGCATTCGTTGTCCTTAAACGTGGAAACCTGCAAAAGACACATGTGCAAAGTTTTCTATATGAAACGTATTCTTATGCATTCTGACACATTACAAACGGAAAACATATGTTTAATGGATCAGAAGTCGTTATAAAGGAGAAAATGACGTTTAATGCAATCTAAGGAGTTTCGCGATGCAAACATTGTGACGAAGTTCCACTTTTTCCAACTAACATTTCTAAGTCTTGAACGCCTACGAATGCATTATACGCAATGTTCGTTTATAATTCGTTATAATTCGTTCGAAGACCAAACTGCACATATATGACTCATAAAATTTCCGAAGTTGTGCGAATGGCCCTAGTGAAGCTTTTTTTCTCAAGCACATGAGCAAGCACATACCTCAAGATTTGTCTCCCTGCACATGAATTTCTTACTCATGCAAAACGCTTGAGGTATGTGCTTGACTTTCTTGTCTCATGCGC